CTGCGCTCTTCACACGCCTCCTGCAGGGCACATTTGGTAAAGTTCGTGCATTCAGGCTGCCGCCAAGCACAGGGAGTAGCACAGCTAAGGAAAAGGGCAAAAAAAAAATGGCGGACGGAGTGGTTTGGCGACCCCCGTGAAATGGTCGTGCGACCCCAAATGGGGTCGCGACCCACAGGTTGAGAACCGCTGCACTAGAAGAAAGAACCTACAGCATGTGATTTTGCCTGCAGAGAGTTCTTGCTTTTGAGCTAAATTACATACTGCAGGAGAAAGCTATCTTTAGAAGAACATTATCCAACCAGAGACCCCCTCCAGATGGGTTGGATTATAATTCCCAACAGCCATACCACATGACTATTGAATAATGGGAATGTTAATTCAGCACAGCTCAAAAGGCTGGGAATGCTGTGGAGGAGATTAGTTTCCATTCCTACTAAATGGTCAATCAGATCCTCAGCATGACCAAAAATCATTGGAATGAAATAATGCTGGATTCACTTTCATGCTGCTCAACAGTTGGCTCTTTGTGAGAACATCCTCAATCCAACTGTTGTTCCAAGATCTTCCTGGCTCCTGCTCTTCCCTATTTGTGGACCATTTTTTATGAGTTTCCTAATTACTGACCCTGCTTCAGTAATTCAAAGAAAAGGGGATCTTCCGTTTCTCTTTTTAAACAAGGACTGTCTCTGACTTTAAATGAATGCCCTTGTTTTTCCCTCAGTCCTAGACAGTGCCCCTCTGGTTTCTTTTCCCCTTTTTTTCTTGGCATATTTCTAGTCTCTGACCTTATTGGCAACCATGATTTAAACATTTGTTATGCTTTCTCTACAGACTTTTTCTGGAATGGCTAAGTTGTACTCAAAAATGAAAGTAAATTCTCTTTGTTTAAAAAGTGTATTTTTCTACATTGTAGAAAAAACAGCTGATGATGATGTCCAGAAGTCTGATATCTCATCCAGCAGCCAAGGAGTGATTGAAAAGGAATCCCTGGGGCCTCTTCTTCTTGAGGTATGTGCTTAAGAAAACAGCTGCTCCACGTAGTATTTTTAATGCAACTTTTATAGAGTTTTCCTTTAAATTTTGCTGGAAAGTAGAAAGTAGGTATTTGCATAAGAAATTGTGGAACTTTTGTGTTGGGACTAATTACTAATTAGGCTAAAAGAAAGATGTTGGGGAAATGGATTACAGGTAGTCCTCAACTTACAATAATTCATTTAGTGGCTGGTCGAAGTTACTACAGCACTGAAAAAAGTGATACTTAACGACTATTGCAGCATCCACTTAACCCAGTGGTCACAAATGGATTTTTGATCCATGTTCATTCTCTGCCTATGATTACCTTAAAGTATTTCTTTTTCATTGATTATTCACTTCTCTATTTCATATAGCACTACATGACTGTAGCACCCAGTTCCCATTGCAACCAATTATGTTTCTTCTGGCAGATATAACTCTCCTTTCCATATAACAACCTGGACAAAAAACATTCTTATGTACAACTATTTTCACTACTTTTTATGAACATTCATTCCTTGCAACAGACCACTAAACCTACCTATCACATTTCTACCAGCGTTTCCATGTCTTAAAATTTTTCCATCTGTTCTCCTAACCTCAATAAGTGTTCTATGCAAATCTAATTATTTTGTCTAATATTTTTATTTAGCTATAATTTACAATTACATATTTGATTTTTGTTAACTAACACAACTACTTTATCTTTTGATAACGCTTCTTTTCAGATCCATGTTCCTTCTTACATCATACCATTTGTCTGATTCATTTTTTTTCAACCATCAACATGGAATTGGCTACATACAAAAGTACTTCCACAAAGAATGCACTTTTAAAATCTACAAACATTCCTTATCCTTTATCCATAAAAATATTAAACAACTAAGGAGACATCAAGCATCCTTGTTTTACTCTTCACTCACAGTTGAACATTTATTCTTTTGAATGTTTTACTTCCATGATATTCAGCAACAACACACAATGTTCAAAACTTGTAGCCTACTCATTTTATCAGAAGCTTTCTCTAAATCATCAAGTTAAATATTTTTTCTAATTCAAGAGTTTTTCAATGATAGGCCAGAGAGCAAAACTTTACAGTATACAGTATGTACTTCTCAATGTTACTATCGTCACTCCCATCTCAATCCTTAGGGAGAAAGCCATATCTTTACCCTTTCTGAGAGTCAACAAGTTGGAGCCATCCATATTTCTAGAGAGAGGCTGTTCTATAAGGCAGGTATCACAGCAGAGAAGGCATATCTTTGAGACATTGCTTCACCAAGGGCATCTGGAGCATGCCCTTCCTACCAAATCTGGATGGACAGAAACTGTTGAGGATAGGCAGTACCACAATTAATCTTGTGGTATTAAAGACCATGTAGGTCTTTAAAGGTGACAACCAGGGTGCAACTGGCACACAAGATATATTTCTGCAAAGGATGGTACCTGCTGTTTGAATAGAGGTCTTAGGACCAGGAGGACTCCCTGTATTGCTTACCAGCTCTGATTGGAGGAGTGTAAAATTGCCAAATTGCTACATATAGGGAGACTTAAAACTCATAGCCACTTAGTCTTGAGGGTTGAGTTGAAGCCGGTTCTTTCCCATCCAGAACTGTGCAGCCTATAAACACTGGGAGCACACTTCCATGGCATTACTTGGAAGGCCCAGGACAGCGATGTACAACTCAGTATCTTTGATTGATTATACTTGACTTCATGCCAGTGGATGATCTCACCCAACTTTCATGTAGATGTTAAATAGCCCTCCACCACTCCACAAAGCAGCAGCCCACAAAAGTGAAGGTGGAGAGCTGTTGAAAAAGCATGCCTCCCACTCCCAACCACTTCATCTGGCCCTGTAGGATACCATGAATGATGATATCAAAAGCGACTGATAGATACAGGAGGGATAGGATGGATATATCAAACCAATCCTGTGGCCAGTAGAGACCATCCAGAAGCGTGATTAGTGATATCTCAGTACTGTATCCCAGCCTTTAACCTGATTGTAATGGGCAGATAATCCATTGCCCTTTGAACCTATAAACTACTATTTTTTTCCCAATCTTTCCCAAAAAGGAGACTGGGCAAACGTCCAGTACTGCCGAAGCCAATGATGAACTGTTGAGGAGAGGCAGATCATTGCCCCCTTCAAGGCACATAGAACCTACTGATTACCAGTATTAGTAAAGCTGCCATGCTGTCCATGACTCCTCATAGTAACTCTGTAGCAACTTCTCCAGTTCTGGAACCAATCATCAGACTCTGCTCAATCCATTCCAGCTGGACAGCCAATCCTTCCCTGGGGGATTCCTTTCCACCTGTCTCCAAAGCAACCACTACTAACATTTCTGCCACCCTGAGAGAAAAAGCCACAAAGACTCTTGTAGGACTTCTACTTCTTTTCCTGCAGTTCTTTTTTTTTTTTTTGCTTTTGTTCTGTCCCACATTTAGCATCTCTTTCAATCTTGTGCCTTTCACTCATTCTCCCAAACATTTTTCATAAAGAATAAAATTAATTGTGGTTTTTTAATCTCTTTTATATATAAGGAAAATGTTTGGCTTCAAAACAAGGAGAGCTTTCAAAGCAGATTGTCTCTCATCACCATTCTCAATCATTCTTGATCTCTAAACATCCTAATATTTTTTTTCTATATCTCTGGATCTCATTTCCCTCATCCATTCATGTCACTTGGTAGAATAATCCTTTTTCTATGTTGTGTTCATTCAGAATGTTGCAGTTTACCAAAAATAAAATCATATCTGTTTCTTTCATTTCCCTCATTTCCTGGGGCATAACATGTAACTATCACTAACCTATGAATTTCTGTTTTCATGTACATTGACAGTACCCTAGACCAGGAATCCCCAACTGCTGGTCCGTGGACCAGCACCAGGTCACGGCATGCCAGCAACCGGTCCACACAAACAAGCAGAACCCCATCCGTGGGATGCAGGCAGCACAAAAACCACGCATCCTCCGGTCTGCGGAAAAACCTCTCTCCACGAAACTGGTCCCTGGTGCCAAAAGGTTGGGGACCCGTGCCCGGCCTAGAGGATATTAGTGCACATTTTCTGATATGCTTTTCATCCCTTTCATTCATAAATAAAGCTACCTTCTGTGCATGTATTCATTAACTCTGCTCCACAAGTTCAAGCCACGTTCACTCTGAACAGATATATCCCTTCCACTGTTTCCTAATTTTTCAGACACACAACGTATCTATTTTTCTTTATTTACTTTCATTCTGTCATACTCTTCACACAGTTTATTACTTTTATATTTCATGTTTCAAAATTCTATACGCCATTTGAATTGGGTGGTATTAATAAATAAATAAATAATAGGTCATTACTAGAATGGCTCATTGACCTCTGCTGCCCATTATAGCTTTGCACATTTGACATTTTCACACTTTTTAACAATATGGAGAATGTTTAGGCTAAATTAGCAGTCACGGTTATACCAATGCCATATTTCCTGGTAAAGGTAAGACCACATTCTGTCCACTTGCCACTTTCTAGGAGGTGCATGCGATGTACCAACAAACCCTCGGGCTAACAAGTTTGGGGAGAAAAAATCAGATTAAAGAAGGGGAGTCATCTCTTGGAAGAACCCAGAGATTCTTTAATCTTGATCTTTCTTGTAATCCACATTCCCTACTCACCAATCACTTGTACTATGCATGTTTGAATTTTTACATTTAACAACAAAATTAATCCCATTCCTAATATCTAGAAGTAGATTATTTATGATTTGTCTCATGTTAGATAAGTGTCCGATGGACTATGTTAACTAAGACTGATTTACATCCAATACCGTTTTCAACTGTTTATTCACTTTTTTTCTTTATCTGCTGTGTCCTGTATGATTTATTCATGCACCTTTCTTTTTCCCAAATACTTTTTAAAATCATATCACATTTAATTGTTTTGATGAGATTGTTAGTGTGCTAAAACAGCTGAAAATTAAAGGGGGCGGAATTTTAATTCAGACAGGAACCTGTGAGCTGCACTTTCCATTCAAAAGCACGTAATGCAGAAGCCTCTTGTTGCTTAGCAACAGACAACTGTGTCTCAGTGAAACTGCAAGCCATGGGCTAATTTTGTTGGGGGGGGGAGGTGGTGGAGAGTGGATTGGCTTGGTTTGAAATTACTTCCTGTTTCCAGACGCTAATATAGAAGGAACCACTCTTCCAGTACAAAATAAAGAGTGCAGAGCCAGATAAATTATGTCTCCCTAGCAAAAGCAATACTAGAAAGGGAAACAAATGCTGACAGAAATGTCCAAGTTTGTGGTTAGGTCTGGGCATATATTGTTTTGAATTATGAAGGGGCAGTCCAAGCCATCATCAATCCTGTATGACTTAGGCAGCACTTGGGCATCCCTCAACTATACCAAAGGGAAGTCACTCCATCCTGTTTAGAAAGAATACAGCAATCAGAAATCTGCCATGCCTTGTGTTAGATTCTACTTTACTTTGTCCCACTTCTGCAGCAATCCCACTGTTTCTTTCATTCTTATGAATTCAAAGGTGCCCCTCCTAATCAGCAAGGGCTGTGTCCTTTGAGCATTTTATCTCATTATAAGAATATTTTAGGGCCAGGGGTCCCCAGCCCCTGGGCTGCAGTCCATTACCGGGCTTTGAGCCGTTCAGAACCAGGCTGTGGAAGCAGCAAGTGAACACCTGTCGCTTGCGCAAATGGATCTGTGCATGTGCGTTTTCCCACTGCTAGCATGGAACCATCTCCTCTCTTCCCCCCCCCAGCCAGGTCCCAAAGCCAAAAAGGTTGGGGAACTCTTTTTTAGGCCAGCCCCATTGAGATCCTTCTGGTTTTAAATGTCTGAAGAACAGATTTTCTCTCTCAAGTTGGCCTTCTACAAAAAGAAGAAAAGCCTCGGCTTGAAATCTAAAATGTGCATAATCATTACCAAAAGGATTGATAATAGGAAGACAAATGTTAGTCAAATTATGAGATAAATTATGGGATAAATTATGGGATAAATTATCACCCACAGTGGGAGTTGTCACCTGTGCAATCCGGTGGCTAATCCTGGAGCATCAATGCTAACAATTATTTCCTTTCTTTATATAAGCATTGTAAGAAAACATGCTGGTCAGGCAAGATGCTCTGGCAGAGTCACCTTAGGCAGCAAAGAGCAGCACAAAGAAAGTGGTAGGGGGAGAGCCAATTATGAAGTTTGGCAGATTTGATTGTAATGTAATCTAAAAATCCAGACTTCTTCATCTGAAAACACTTGTTAGAATGGTCTGTAAGTACATGAAGTGGATGTGTTACTACTGTTCATGCAGGGTTCGACTAAAGTGATATGCATTTGTCCACATATGCCTAGACATCAGTAATTTTTATAAGTTGATTATATGAATTAAGCATGACTCCTGCCCTATTTATCATTGTTACTTGTATATTTCTGATACTTTTCCCATGATAGTGCCCTGATCATCTACTCTATAACCCCAATTGTCAGCTCTTCATTGTTCTAAAGACCTGTAAAGATAGAAACGCCTTTCTTAATGCCCTTTGTCATTGTTTTGACCCCTGCAGGCACTGGATGGCTTTTTCTTTGTTGTGAATCGTGAAGGACGGATTGTGTTTGTGTCTGAGAATGTGACCAGCTACTTAGGCTATAACCAAGAGGAGCTTATGAACACCAGTGTCTACAGTATCTTGCATGTGGGAGATCATGCTGAATTTGTGAAGAATTTGCTACCTAAGTCACTAGGTGAGCAGTATGTATTTCTTGGTCTTCTCTCGTTCTCTTTGCAAAACTGCTGCTGAATCAAAGAAACACATTTGTATAATTTCAATATAAATTCATGTCAGGATACTAGGATAACTTTTCTAGATAGTATATGAAGTAAATGTACAGGGAAAACTAAGATTCTCTAAGACCACAATAGTTAACCTAGAAACATTTTTACCAGAATATAAGAAATATATTAAAAATCATGATGTAAAAGGGTAACTGATGAAAATTCCAGGTATCCTAAATCTGCTTCTTTATCTAGAGTTCTGACTGATATTCTTTGGTAATATTTGTGAAGAAAAACAATAGGTTAAGCTTTTTAGCTTAAAGAAGTGATAATAGATGGCCTAGAACAAAATGACCATGTTATTCTTTTCTTTACACATCAGATTCATGAAGCCACTTCATACAATACATTTTTAAGTGTTTGATTTCTTCAAGGCTTTAGCTTAATATGTTGAATGTTTCTCAGAATGTGCAAGAGTTGAGTAGATGCAAGCTGCACTCAGGAGCACTAGCAGGTGGTTAGGAGATTAGGAGGCAGCTCTGTTTTGCAAACAAGATCCAATTTAATTTTGCTGGTGACATGCCATTCCAAATGCATATCATTCATTCTGCACTTAAGCTGATTTTTGAATAATATGCTAACTCACAAGCATCATTATGTAATTCTCAATAAGAACTTCAGTTGACTACTCAACCAGAAACCTTTTTTTTTGCCAGTCTGAAGGCTAGAGAGCTAAAAATGTGAATTGCTTACTGAGTGTCAGCTTAGCCAGCAGACTAAACCAGTGACTGGAGGCACAAAGATACTCTCTGGTCAGCTCATCATTAATGTGGCACATTTAGTACATAGCCTGATTCAGTCAGAGAGGTTACTGGCTGCTTACAAATCAATGTTTTCTTCATCGAAGGTCAACTGTTTGCTGCTGTTTAATCAACTTGATGATAAAACCTCTCTTGCTTAACAAGGTTCTGTTTATCAAAGTTATGGCCTATTAGCTAAAGCTTTATTAGTTGACAAGTCACTAATTCAGTAAACTCTCATAGTTCTTACAACTGCCTTATTGGGTCAATGCAATAGTCTGCTGAAGCTGCAAAGGTGCACGTTACACTTTCATGGAGGGAAAGAGAAACCATTAATAACACACTGAGCACTTTATGGAAAACAAGTGAAGGTCAGCAATGATTTTATATGAATATAGAAAGCCAGAGAGATAGAAATTCCAAACTCTTATTGTATTACCCACTCTGCAGGTCTTCTTTGAAGGTTCAAAATATAGGTAGAAAATGAGAGTAAAGTAGCAATACAGATTTCTTGTCTTATACTCTGGAACCCTTTATTTGCTACAGTCCTACTTGATCATGCACATATTCTTGCATGTGTGCATCCATGAAACATACATGTATATGTGTATGCTCACTGACACAAATTTAAGAGACATGCCTGTGCAACCTTAATGGTACCTGAAGCAAGTACCAAATGCAATAAGTTCAAAATCTACAAGAGTCCCCTATCTAGAAAAGTGTCGTCAAAAAAGGCTAATACACAAGCAGGGATGTGCAAGAGTGAAAATTTGAACGATGCTCTTCTTTGAGTCTTTTGGAAGACGAAATAGCCCTTGAAGAAGAATCCTTTTAAAATTATAAATGTGTTTTAGTGTTCTGCTCTCTTTTTTCTTTCTATAGCTACCTTTCTTTTTTGGTTGAATTTCACAGTGACAGGAAGATTGCAATCTCGGATCCTTGCATGTCCATATAGTTGGATAAGATCTGAGTCAGAGATGGACATTTTTTTTGGCCCATGTTCACATGTATCACCTAATAATATGTCATACCTGCATATGCACAATCATATATACCAAGTACATTTTGCTGGGGAAGAGGATGCCCAAGATGGATCTTACTTGCACCATTTTCCCATTAAAGTGCACAGCTCTGCAGGATTTAAAGATTATTTACCTTCATCCATTAGCTTTAAACTTTATTAGCTTTATTTCCCATTCTTATCCAGGAATCCAAGGCGGTTTACATGAGGTACCCCTTTATTTTATTTCACAACAAAAACCCAATGAGGTAGATAGAGGTGAGAAAATCAGTCACCCAGGCAAATTCCATGGCTGAGGTGGGACTTGAATCTGGGTCTATCAGTGTTTCAGTGCTACATCATACTGGCTATCTAAATGTCAAATTGCTGGAGTTTGCTTTAGATTTTAAGTAAACAATCAGATGCACCCTTTAACATATGCTGCAATTTTAAAATGGTCTAGCATAGACCATTTTAATATTGATTTCAGTGTGGCTGGTATCAAATTTGCTTCAGTCAATATAAAATTGACTTAAGCTAATTTAATATAAGGTAGGTTTAAATCAATATTTCACTTAATCAGGTCTTAATTGATTTTAGCTTACTACAGTGTACACTTATGCATGGATAGAGTTCAGTGTTTTGTGAAATGTTACTGTTGCATTAAATCATATTCTCACACTCACATATAGCTCAGCCAGTTTTCTATAGACAAATTAAAAACTTGTGTTTTTCTAGTACTTTCTGAGAAAATTGTGCAAGGTGTTCCTTATTCACACTGAACATGGATTTTTTTTAAATTTGTGAATATGGTTGCCAAGGAAACTGCTATGCTGAATGCAAATATGAGAGGTAACCATAGCAGAAAATGTCAGAAGTACCATCATTCTGCGAGTCTAATATATCCTTTGCATGTATATGTTTTCAAGTCAATAAAAGGATTTGGTCATGTATAGCTACTTGACCAAGAGTAATGTTTGTGGCTGGAGACATGTTTCTTCACCACCCCCACCCAAAGAATCAGTCTGTGATCCTCCTGGTGAAACCGTGATATCACCTGGGGTGATTTTTTTAGCTGCAATTTTTGGAGAGATATTATTTATGCAAAATAGTTCAGTTAAAACTGTAGTGGCTCAGCATATTTATTTTTCAACTTTTCAGCTATTCATTACCATTTATTAATCAATTATGGGGATTTTTTTCAATCAAGGAAGGAGAAGTAGAGTCACCACTGCACTTTTCACCTACTGTAAAAAAAATTCCCCTGGATTCTTCCTCTTTAGAGGATAGCAAGGATCACAGAAAGAAGGAGAAATAGGTCATGGGGTGGATGGTTCCTGATTGCTGCCATAAATGTTCTTAGAGATGGTGGAAGGAGTAAAGAGAACATGGGGACGAGCTTGTCCTCTTTGAGAAGGAAAGGGGGAAGTAGCGAATGGATCTTTTGGGCCTTTACTGCATTTCCTCTGCAGGATAAAGGGTGCTGCACTAGTAGTCATAGTGAGAACAGAACACAAGAAATTTTTGCATAGAGAACAAAAGAGGAGCGTTTGCTGTGGTCAGAGGTTTTTCCACACTTACTTCCTGGTCCTTGCCATCTGAGTGCATGTCAGAGTATCTAGAGTAGGTAATAGTGGTATAAATAATGGTACATGGTTTATACCATAAATAAACAATAGAAAGCTTGTGGCTTTGAATCATTATAATAGTTTCTTATACTTATTGGTGATTGGGCAGAGTTGTAGTAATCTCATTTTCCAAATTCCAGTTTCTGCACATTCACTTTTTCAAAGCCCTTCAAGGAGTGTTTTTTGTTCTATCCCAGTTAATGGAGTCCCTTGGCCCCAAGAATCTACCCGACGCAACAGCCATACCTTCAACTGCAGGATGCTGATCCGTCCCCCAGATGAGCCAGGTGCAGAGAATCAAGAGGCCCGCCAGCGTTACGAGGTTATGCAGTGCTTCACTGTGTCTCAGCCAAAACTGATCAAAGAAGAAGGTGAAGGTAAAAACAAAGACTGCTAGATCTGGAGGTGGAAGAACGCTAGTTCATGATGCATCGGGTTTTGGGGGGAGACCGGGAAAAGCCACAGATTATTTCCTGCTGTCCTTCCATAAGACTTTTATTGCAAGGGGATTGCAACTCCGTAAAAGCCCATACTCTCTGCAGCATTTCCTGCTTACTAAGAGTAGGATTTGTGATATCTGTAACTCAGCATGTAAAACCCACAGATTTTACTATACTGCATACCCTCCAAATTTCACACTCAACTGATGAGCAACTTTAATCCTCATGGGAAAGGAAAGGTTTCCAAAAGGCCCATTGCAGCCCTGCTCCTTCTTGTTATTTACATTCACACCACTCTGCTGCATTTGCATCACTCTTTGGATGGGAAAGATTAGAAGTTATATCTCCATATGTCCAATCCTGGCAGAGTATGTAATCAATTGCATAAAAATAAAAATGTAGGACTCTTTGAACCACCTTGCTAAAGATGCTAAAACATAATCCTTCAGAGCTTAGTGCAAAAGAAACTAATTTCCATCATTAAAGCTATTAGGGGTTTGGTCTAAGACTATTACAATCATTGGCATTGTTCAGACATGATTGTTTTTGGTTTCAGTAGTACTGCAACATGCTATTGGATTATGTTAAGTATCTTATTAGAAAGAAATCAGCCAAAGTCAGAATGAATAGGTAGATATATACTGTAGTACTCATGACATATTCAGATGTCCTGCCTCTTAGGTGGGTTCTGACATTGTACAATTTTTTGATATTCCCAAGTCTGTAATGTTAATGCAATAATAAACTAGAATTCTGAAATTTTAACAGCAGCACTCTGATGATGAAGTCACTCTCCACAAAATGAATTGAGTAAAGTGATATCTCAGTTGAAAGTTAAAACAGAGGAAAGGGAGGTAGGTTAATGATACCCTTCATTTATCTAATCAGTGAAGCTGGAGTGTTCTCCTGATTATTTTCCAGTAACAAGCTTGTCTCCTCTGATTAACCCTGAGTGATCTGTAGTTGTTTCCAGGAATACATACCTATATTGTGGTTACTGAAATCCCCCACCATTGTGCTGGGTGGGCATCTTCCTGGATTCCAAATGCATAATTTAGTCAACATGGATTCAGATTTGGGATCTTGATCTTGATCTGTACTGTTCCTCAGACGCATCATGCCAACAAGACTTTCCAGCAAAACACTTCAGGCTTATTCCTCCGTAATGGCCATTTCGTTCCAGTGCATTAGCTGAATTAATCCATTGCAGCTTTCACAGGAGATCATGACTAGAAGAAATAAATCACAGAGGGGTTTATGAGCACATACTTTGCCTAGAGCTGATAATTCTTGGCTTCCGCAACTGCCTTTTATTTTGCAATGTTGCCAGATCCAAATGGCCTTAAAATTAATTCTCCCAAACAGTGTGGAACGAACACACGCATACACATGGGAGTATGCCAGTCCTTTTCTCTTGCAAGCAGATTTTTAACCTTTCCCAAGTTGGCACCCTCCAGATATATTGGACTGTCATTCCCTCTTCCCCAGTGAAGACTGCCAATATCTGTGCAGGGTGGTGGGAATTCCAGCCCAATACATCTGAAGGATTTCACTTTAGAGGGACGTTGGTTTATAGGATCTTGTTACTGTGAAGAATTCAAGTCAACAATGCTGCTGCTCATGCAAAATGAAGGAGGGAAAAAGGCTTAGTTTAGTCATGGCTCCAGTGATGATTCCTAAACTGTGGTTGCAGGGGGGCTATTTTCATTCTTCACCAAATGAAAACAGATAAGCAATTCAGTTGGGTTGTTGCAGTCTTATCCTATCCCTGAAATGAGAGAAGCCCATCCCGTCAGCTTCCCTTTTGTGAGGCCTTTCTTTCTCTTGCATTCTCTTATCCCTTCTCCAGTCATCCCCCCCGCCCAGACCTCCTCCCTAATGCTGCAATTGCCCTAGTTTATTTGCTCAGAGCTTGCTTTTGTTGCTCACCCTAAAGCCCAGATTGAACCGCTGCCTCATTATTCCATTTTGAGTGAGCTAAAGAAACAAAAAAGCTGCATTCCTCATTATAAGTAAGTTTAAGGAGAACCTGTGATATCTTTAGTAAAGGCATTCCTCTTTTACATAGTCTCTTTGCACATACAATGTATAGAAGATGAAGGAAGGAAGCAAAGTACCATGTAAGATATGAGAAGGGAGGAGACAATGTGGAAGCAGTAAATGAAAATGAAAAGAGGTGGCATGGGAATTTAAATCAGTAACCTTCAATCTTTTGTTTTTTGGTTCTATTCATAACAGATTTGCAGTCCTGCCTAATATGCATTGCACGAAGATTACCTCGACCTACAGCTCCTGCCACATCAGAATCTTTCATGACCAAGCAAGATACTACAGGTGTCTTTCAGAAAAATAAGTAGATAATTGCTTCTACAAGGCTTTGGAAATCATAGAGTATTTTGTCAGACTACAGTTTTGGTATAATTGAAAGATCCACTTGTTTGGCCATCTTGGTCTCCAAAATAGAGAAGATTCCATGGAAACCTCTTGGTTGTTCCTTTTAATGCCTGGAGCTCCTCTCAACATTTATTGAGATATGGAGATGAGCAATAATGAAAAAAGCAGGCTTCCCCCCCCCCCTTGTGCTTGGGATTCTCTTGTTCTTTTTTTTTTTTTTAAACTATGTTGAGCCAGTTTTGCAGCTTACATTACTGTTTTTATGTATTAGCATCTCAAAATTATGGGGAAAAATGTGTCTAATGCTGGTAGCAGTATTTTAAAAAAGGATCCAAAGGTATTTTCTGGACTTCAGCTTTAGGTTGCCAATCCCTGCTCTATAGTTTCATTAAAAAAAAAATCTGGACAAATCTGCAGCCCTGTATGGATGTGAAATAAGTTACTGAGTAACTTTAACGTTTTAACACTATTCATTTTATATCTCTACTGTTTTTCCATCCACTTAAATAAAAGTCAGCCTTGCCACCTTTGTAATGCATACGATTGTGAGTTATAAAGGTAGGAAAGGCAAGAATGTCAGCCACTTAGATAGTGAGATGTGCACTTTATAAATCTGATGAATAAATAAATAAGAACAGCATTTTTTGTGACTTACCTGCCGCCTCAACCCAAATGAACTCTTAAGTGATAATAGTTAAATATAAGCCTGTTTAGTTCTACATGTGTAGATTTTGCCATTTGGACTTGTCAGCTGCAGACCAGGAATTAAAGGAGTTATAGTTGGTGATTTCATACGTGTAAGAGAGAAAAAATAGCATTTCAGAGGTTTTGCAGAACTAATTTAGAAATAATAAAAGGTACTAGACATCTTTTAAGAGAGCAGGAGATATTTGGATAGTTCACATATAGTTTTATTAGAAGAAAACCTATTTACATAAGTGGCAGTCATAAATAAGGTTATAAATGGCAGTTTCATGTTATCTGCCTTGTTTATTTAGGCTTGTGTACCTTTTAAACCTCTAAAAAGAGCATTCAAGACAGCATAAACAATTTTTAAATAATGAAAAATTAACAGTTAAAACATAAATAGAAGGCTGAGGAGCTGAGTGCAGTTTACAGCTAATGGACAGGTGTAGAAGGTGCAATATATATTGAATATGTGCTTTTACTTGCTCTGCTTGAGATTCCTAGGTTTAATGTCTTTGTTTTCATTCCACTCCACACAGGTAAAATCATCTCCATTGACACCAGTTCCCTGAGAGCAGCAGGGCGGACTGGCTGGGAGGATTTAGTGAGAAAATGCATCTATGCTTTCTTCCAGCCTCAGGGCAGGGAGCCGTCTTATGCCAAGCAGCTATTTCAGGAAGGTAAGAAGGCTTCTGTGTTTGAACACACCTTCATGTTTGCTGGATGAGGTCTTTTCAGAGTGAAAATACATTTTTTTTAAAAATGAAGACTGCACATAATGCTAACAAAGGAAATGGCTGTGTAGTGACAGTGGTCTCTCCATCCAGGCAGGAAAGATGACTAATATGGTCAGTAGAATTCCTCTGAACCATACTAAGCTACCTCTTTACATTCTTAGAGCAATCTGGTCTACAAGGCCACTCAGCTCAGGGGTGGTGTGCTAACTCAAAGGCTTTTTTTTTTTTTTGAGGAAGTGACAACTAAAGCAAAAAGGCTGCTTCATTGGTCCCAAAGGGGACAGAAATATTCCAAAATCTCTGCATCTTGCATCTTTTTATGCAGACTTGAGGTATGCTAGTCTGAATCTTGGATTAGGGCAGGGAAGATAGTTTCTGACTCCCAATCAGCCAGTAAAGCTCCTTTGGGGAAATCCTGTCTAACAATTCTCAAACATCAGCTTGACAGAAGAGAATGGGGCAGGCATAGCCTCCCCAGAAAATTTGAGATAAAATGTCAGTAGGTGATGAGCATTCTTGGCTTTTATATTGGTAATTTTCCTAAGTGCTAATGTAAAGTGTAAAGATGTTTATCATTTTACAACACCCTTGAAACTTGGATCAGTAAAATTGTATCTCCTTACAAGCTGGGGCTGAAAGAATTATTTCTCTGCTAAAAGGATTAAATTGTTTATGAAAATCCCAGGAGGTTTTTGACATGTTAATTTCCATAAGACTTTCAGATGGAGATGGTTGATGATTTCTCACTAAAGCAGGGCTGGGCAACTTTGGGGAGAGGGGGTTGGTACTACAGTAATCTTGGGGTGACGGTGAACCCGACTAGACTACATAAACTGGGTGAAGGTTGTTTAAAGATACATGCACCCAGAAATTTTGGAGGGAGAAAAATTAAAACCTCCCTTTACTTCTAGAGATGCTTGTTCACATTTTGTTTTTTCCCCTCTTCCTCCTGCTTTTATATCCTTGGGAAACATGGCTTTAAAAGTCAGTCTTTGTTCCACTAGGAGTAGAGTAGAGTAGAGTAGAGTAGAGTAGAGTAGAGTAGAGTAGAGTAGAACTGAACTGAACTGAACTGAACTGAATTGAATTGAATTGAATTGTGATTGGACACACACACCCAAGGAATTTGTCTCTGGTGCATAAGCTCTGAGTGTACACCAGAGACAAAATCCTTGTGTGTCCAATCACACTTGGCCAATAAGGAATTCTATGGCATTTGCATTCAAATTCCTGTTCAACTTGAAAAGTACTGCTTCAATTCCCCATTTATAAAATGGGAGTGAAATTCAGGAAGCTCAGAATTGTAATACAAGGACTCATAAAATAGTAAGCTGTAGTTAAGCTTTATATAGCAGAAGAGAAAATCCTTCAATATGTAGCAGCGAAATGCACTTTTTCTTCTTTTTTTAGGCCGCTGAGGGCTGCACATTGCATGCTGGTGATGCAACAAGATCATTGGAGGGCAGGGTTGGACTTTTCAGCCCATTGCTTTCAGATTTTTCAGGGCTTGAAAGTTTTTGCATACATACATAGGTACATACCCATCCTACTGTTTTCTTTTGGGGTAACCAGTGTTAGGCAGAGAGCATAGAAGAAGTGAGAAGTAGTATACCAAATAAACTAAAGGCATGAGATAAGGACAGAAAAACTAATATAACTATATCTAGTTTATACCCAAACTATTTACTGTTCTTCTTCACACATTTCTCTCTTGGCACACCATTCTTCATTCATATATTGCTTCAGAACATGCCTTTGTACTTTATACCCTTTTTAAAGAATCTCCTAAACTCTTTCAAACCATGGCTTTTGTCATTTTCCCCTTCCCCTCAACTTATACATTCTTCATATATTTGTTTACTACTGATTCCTCATTACTTTTCTTTATGTGATCAAAAATCTTAATTTACTTCAATATTGGTCGTTCACTTTTGTATTCTAACCACATTCATTGAACACTCATTCATCTTTGAGCCTCTCTCTTGTTTTACCACACAAACTTTTACATCCTTTCAAGTATCATACTCCTAATGTTCAACATTTACGTTTCTTCTGATACATCTCTCACTTCTCTGTAACACACAGTAGGAAACATGATCCTTATGCACAACCATTTTCACGTCTTTCTCCAAACATTTAATCCTCTTACAGACATCTTATGATCCTTTTTATCAGCATTTACATATCTTAAATTTCTCTGTGTCCCATGCAGCAGTCCCTGCTAATAGCAAGGACAGTACTGGTCAGTCTGCGCACATTTTGGCTTAGCATGCTACAAGTGTGACTAAAGACCATCTTTATTCCAGCATGCTCACACTATTCTTTGCAAGATAGGATCTCTAAGAGAGAACCCTGCAAGGCAGCACACTGTTACTTGCTTCCTGCAATCTAGAAGGTACATGCAATGTTTAAGGTGCTTCTTTTTTTTTTTAAAGTATATTGACTCTATTGAAAGCTAAAGCCATGCTTCTTTTTTTAAAAACCTAAATGATATTGCTATCAATTGGGAATTTGCTGTTGAATTTTTGAGATATGGTTTTGATGTGTTCCAGGGGTTGCATCAGAGGTGCATGTGGTATGTACATTGCTTGTGGACTGCCTACACCTGCTACTTCACTAATATTGCTAGCAACAAGAAGACAAATCATCCTAATCCTTAAGATACCTTTTCTTTTCTCCCCCTTCTCTTTCTGTTTCTGTTCAGTGATGACACGGGGCACGGCCTTCAGTCCATCCTACCGATTCACACTTAGTGATGGGACTGTACTGAGTGCTCATACCAAGTGCAAACTTTGCTGCCCTCAAAGTCCAGAAATGCACCCCTTCATCATGGGCATTCATATAATTGAAAGGTAAGTCCTGAAAATTCCCAGGGTTCACTGGGTGCCATTGCCTCTATTTTTCTCTCCACCCATCTTTCATAGACAGCAAGCTTCTTTGGGAAGGATTCGTCTCTTCCTATGTAAGAGTACAATTCAACATATATACAGACTGCATTTTTAAATGTGTCACACTGATTGTACTAGTTCAGGGGTCTTTAAATTTGGCCCTTTTATGACTTGTGGACTTCAACTCCCAGAATTCCTCAGCCAGCATTGCCTGGCTGAGGAATCCTGGGAGTTGAAGTCCACAAGTCATAAAAGGGCCAAGTTTGAAGACCCCTGTACTAGTTGATACAGTATGTCTCTTTGCATGTCATGGTTCTCTCATATATCCCTTAACAAGAAATAACATATTTACCACAGGATGGAAAGAGTGGTGGTAGCAAAGGGTTCTTGTGCTATGTAATCTGCAGACTGAGCTGCCTTCTCTGTATGTTGCAAGGATATTAGAAGTACAAATGAAGGAAAAAATACCAAGCTTTTTCTTTTTCTTTTTTGGCTTTCTGCCTCTTGAAGCTGGTTTGAGTCTGGACCTTGAGAGGATGCATTAGCTAGCAGCTTCACTGGACAGGGCAAAGATGTCTTAATCAGTATTATCTAATCTCAACAGAACCATGTCTTCAAAGAGTAATGGAAAGAAGCAGATGCTGAATCTTTCTTTGGCATCTTCTCTCTCTCCCTTCCTCTTCTCTCAAGCTTAAGTAATACTTTCTTAGTTTACTTCTCTTTCCCATTGGAAGTGGGGGAAGGGGGATACTTTGGTTACATAGCAAGAGAATGCATTGAGGAATACGTCATGAAATAGCCTGTCCAAACAAGTTGTTGCTTCTTTTGCAACACATTCAAACTAGCAGCATGTAAGGCAGAACAGAAACAAATTGCAAAGTTGTCCAAAGTGAAGAAAACCTGCCAGCAGAACTTACAGTATGTTTATTCTACATAGCTACATTTTGATAAGCAGTCTTTGGTATATATACATGTATGTCTTTAGAACATGGAAGGCTGCAAACATCAACAGTGAAAAGATATTGTGTGCCTATTCTGTCCTTTCCTCCTTAATATCTGTGTGAATGCAAACCCTAACCCAAATGAAAGATGATGATGTATAGAGTCCCTATAAATTGGATAACAAAAGCTAGATAATTACAAACAAAAACTTTTGTCTAGAACACGCTCAGCCTAAAAAAAATAGGTGGAAGTACCTAAGGAAGCCACATCTATGAACCCTTTTTCAACTCTCCCCTATCTGAGAGGTTGCAGTGTATGAACAAGTTTTGAGAGTGACTTAGCATCCCTTTAAGTAGAAGAAAAACTGATAAGGATACTGAATCTAGGGGTATTGTGTAAATTAGTCAACAACTGGTTCTCTTCTATCTCATCACTCAAAGTTGGATAAAGAATGCAGTGGCCGCACCACTCCTGAGTGGAGACGGTGATGCTGGCAGTGGCAGTCTCTGGGCTTTCTGTGGCAAGAGGGACCTGTCATCTGAGGAGCTGGCCAGTGGCAGTGATCATGGCAGCTGGAGGGGAAATACTCTGAGAAGAAGAGTGGGAAAAGTGCCTCTGCTTGCTGCAGAAGAGACTGTGCCAGATCTCACAATGGCAGCTGCTGGAAGGGAGTTGCAGGAGAAAGAAGGCAAGGATGAAGGCAGTGTTGGCTGCCAAGGCAGCAGCCACCACAGCGTTAGAGACTGCAGGCCACCCGGTTATGCTAAGAACCACCACTTCTTTTGCATCAGGGTGATGACTTGGCCAAGTGTTAGCAGGACAGTAGATCTGTGCTGGCATCCTATCTCTCTGAATAGATTTTGTAGGAAAAAGAAAACATCTGGTTTGTGTGATCGGGAACAGACTGGCTAGACTGTACCTCTGGTTAAATCTCTGGGAAAGCTGGCTTGAAGAATATCTTACTGCACTCGCTGCTTTCAGTTTTCTCAGAAAAACCACAAGGGAAAGATCACGCATTGGGCTTCCTGATAATCATTGACAGGAACAGCCAATTGAATTTATGAAATTTCAACAGTGATTTTTGCTTGCTTGTTGCTTTCTAGTCAGCCATGGAGGTTTTTTTCAGGTTCATTGCCTGCCTTAAGGGAGTTTCTGTGCCAGCCTTTCCTCTTAAATTATTGCATAAGAAGGAGGTCCAAATCATGAAATATTTCCTGCATTCGTTCTTAGTGCTTTACTTTCAGGTTCTGATATGGAAAAGTTATTACCTTGTAGAAACCTTGTAGAAGTACAAGCACAAACCATTACAGGTTTTGTATAAAAACGTATACAAAAATAACACAAACCTTCCAGATCTAGGATTAAGATCTGCCAGGCCATTTTTCTGCCCAGTTCCTTCATTAGTCCAATCTTTTCCAACTTGCTACATATTTTCCTTTATTTTGTTAAGATGAATTTACACATTGGTGCGTTCTTAATTGCCTTCACCTGCTGCTAATTTGATATACTAATTTCTTTTTATGCAATTATTTGACCTAGCTAGTTGACATCCTTGAAAAATAACTACTACTCCCAAAGCTATTTGAAGGACAGCAGGATCCAGATGCTTGTTATTTAATAGAGAGGGAGCTACAGTTTGTGGATGGAAGGTTACAGATCAAAGAATGGCCATTATTTTATGGCTGGGAGTCAAAGCTGACATGAATAGTTTTGGCAGGGTGAGAGGACTTGGATGTCTATGAAACCTACCAAGAATAGTTCTGGCTTTGATACCATCCTGAATAGACGTCCAGACCTGAATGTTTTGAAGGCTTTCTTTCACTTTTTGAGGAACAGGACAATGAATAAGTGGGAGGTTTATGTTTGGGCTTTTGATTCCTGAATTAGAGTCCTTTTGGAATATTTCTCATGGTAGCTAGGCCCATGCATAAAAGAAAATTATACAAGATATACTGTATATAATAGTAGCCATTTATTTGATCCTTCAAAAGAAGCCACACATACTTCCTACATACACACACACACACACACACACAGAGTATGTAAGCTCTGTGTGGGTATCTGTATACATACATATACATACATACATATACATACACACCATACAGTATGTATGTATTTCTATCTGTCTATGTATATAAATAAAATCTTTCTCAGGTATACAGCATTTTTGCACTCCCTCCTCTGAAAGGACACAGCATAAACTAATCAAGTTCTTTCAACATGGGTGGGGGGGGGGTCTGTATTTTCTTTTTCCACCAACTGCATTTTTTCTTATCTTGATTCAGAGAACACAGTGCCCTGTCGCCTCAAGAGAACACTAATCCTGCAATGCCTCTTCCCCGTGTCAGTCCCTCGCTGAACCCCAGCATTTCTCCAGGACAGGGTGTACCCCTGCCAACGCCTCTCCCTCCCTCCAATGGTAGCATGTTAACAGCCAACACAAACCACCCATCAGGATCCAGCTTGCATGGCAATAGCAATGCTGCGACCACCCAACCCAATTACGGATGTCCACCTGGAAGCCAGATGGGAGGTAATGTTGCCTTAAGCCAGGGACAAGCTGGTCCTCCGAATAGTACCCATTCTATAAACATCAGTAGCTCTCCAATGAACAGTCCTGGGGTCACCCCGCCACAGTTTATGTCTCCAAGACATCGAGTAAGCCCTGGACTTGTGCATCGGCCCAGAATGCCAAGCAACCCTTTCTCTCCCACTATGCCTTCCACACACTCCCCAGTGGGCATGGTGGGCAGTTGTGGTGGCAGCAGCGCTGTCAGCAACAGGCCATATCCAGGAACCCCATTAAACTCCATGCAGGGATTGACTGAAGGACCTAGCCCTCCGATGGGCTATTCCACACCCCCTCCTGTCCTGCGTCAGTTGAGCAATCAGAACTCCCCCAGCAGAATGAACATACCACCCGTGAAAACCGAGCCAAAAGACAGCAAGGAGATGTCGTCCATTCTTTGCAGCATGGCCCACTCTGACAACAGCTCCAATGACAGCAAGCCCTTGGATTCTAGCTTGCTGCATGGCAGTGACAGACTCTCAGAGGGTGACAGCAAGTGTTTGCAGGCTACCAGCCACAAACTAGTCCAGCTCTTGGCTTCCACGGCCCAGGAGCAGTTACGGCATGTCGATGCAGATACCAGTTGCAAAGAGCCCTTGTCTTGTACGGGTGCATCAGGGACCCCAGCTTCTGGGAATCCTGTGGGCAGTGCATGCCCTTCCTCCCACAGTTCCCTCACAGAGAGACATAAGATCTTACATCGGCTTCTCCAGGAGGGCAGTCCTTCTGATATTGCCACCCTGTCCATGGAGCACGATAAGAAAGATGGGATGCCTGGTGGTACAGCTACTGCTGTTACACCACAGAGTCAGGCTCCAGGAAACCCTGACAACAGGCTGGAAGCAGATGCTGTGAAGAAGAAGGATTCAAAGGACCATCAGCTCCTTCGCTATCTGCTTGACCAGGATGATAAAGAACTAGTATCCAACCCTTCCTTGAGCCTGGAAGATGTGAAGGTGAAAGAAAATACAGAGCAGTTGGATCCTTGTAATGCACCTGTGGGCCCACTGCCTAAGCCCTCTGCTCAAGAGGAAGTGAAGCTACAGCCACAGGGACAGGTGAGTTTTTAGTTCAAACTGGTTTTCTGTTAATACATTTTTCATTTCTTATGAAATTTATTTTCTGCTGCTGCTGTTAATTTATGATTCTCCTTGGCTAAAATTCAGCAATTTACTGAATTCTAAGGAAAAGGTTGATATATTCCAGAGTACCCAGTTTGGCAAGGAATCACAGATTATATCAGGCCCAAACTATATCTGTAGAATGAGGAAGAATATGGTACTGTATATGTATTTCAGAACTCTTGCATGGATCTCCTACACACACAAAAATATAGAGTCTGTAATATTCATATTATGAACATAAGTTCTCTGCAGATTTAGTCTGGAAAAATGAAACAGTGTTCTCACTTTCCTAGCAAGCTCCAACAGGGTTTAGGAAGCATCTATTTTCAAAACTAGAGTTTAAATGGCTAGAATAACCAATAGCAATGGCACTTAGATTTATATACTGCTTTACAGTGCTTTACAGTGCTCTCTAAGTGGTTTACAGAGTCAATATATTGCCCCCAACAATCTGTGTCCTCATTTTACCGTCCGCGGAAGGATGAAAGGCTGAGTCAACTTTTAGCCGGTAAGGATCAAATCCCTGGCAGTCAGCAGAATTAGCCTGCAATATTGCATTCAAAACACTGCACCACCATGGCTCCTAAGCAATTCTATCTCTCAAAGAAATCTCCAGATCTTTATTCCTTTCCTTAAGGCTTCTCCTATCAGAATACACTATTTTAGTTTATTTGTTTTTTAATCAGTCTTTGGAAAACTAAAGCTGTCCTTGTGGGTGCTGGTAGGTCTGGATAATTTGTGAAAACTGCAAAGATTCCATACAGATGGAATCTTCCTAATTCTTTAAAAGGTTTACCTGCTGTTGAAATGAAGTAGTTGTTGAGTAGGAGGAATATATTCTTGAGTAGGAAGCTGGAAGTTTGTATGGGAAAGCCTCTTAGTTTATGCAAGTGGAAAGAAAGAAATTGAGCAGCACCAGATATAGTTTGAAAATGGTGTGGTAACCTCTCTGTTCCTCAAAGAAAAGTGCAGTAATCAGATTCTCCCATCAAAATCTCTTCCTGGTTTTTTTTTTTTTAACAGCTTAATTCAACTCCTGTAATGTGGTTTCTACCTCTGAGCATTCTTGCCAGTCAGTATCAAATGCTATTCTTTTTGGGTTATGGGTTGGCTGCACACAACACCTGTTTTGATCGTATTTACTGGTACAATCCTGGGATTTTGTTCAGTTGAGTGAAGTTCATGTAGTCTACCTATTCACACTTGACAAGATGAGGGATGGACTTGAGGCATTCACATTAGCACAAACCCCTTTTCTTACACTTGACAAAGTATGAGTTAGAGATCCCAAGAATTATTGCAGCTCAAAATGTGAAGGTTTGGGTTTGTGAAGTGTGGAACGTAATCAGCATATTGGTAACAAGACAGAGCCTTGGCATCAGTGTATACATTTGTAAAGGGGAAATAAATTAATAGAAAAATGTTTTTCTAAATGGCTACAAATCATGATAGCTTGGCTGTATTATTTACCTGCAGTATCAGAGGCAGGTATGTCTCTAAATGCCAGTGTTGGGGACTCTTCTCCCCATGCCCACCGTTGAATCTTTAGTTTGTGTTGTGTTTCAGATGAAAAGACCAGAATTGTGGACTGCACACACATTATAATTTGCCAATAATCAGTAACCTTGATGCTGTCTTGGGCCTGGCTAAAATGATTGCCATACCTTTGATTGAGGAAGGGGGCTTCTGTAAAATAAACTCTCAGTTTCAAGGTCAAAATTAAAATAATACATGTTGTGGTTCAGTAGAGACAGTGGCTTTAACACAATATATTACAGACAGAAATGTCTTCTAGATGAAACTTGTGGACAGTAATCATGTATATGTAAGGTAGTTTCTGTAATGAATTGAATAATTTAAGCAAATAGGGTATTCTTTATGTAGTTTCCCTACTGTGCCTGAATACATACAGAGAGAAAGATTGAATTTTAATCTTTAGAAAGATTGGAATCTTTGCAAGGAATGGGAAGGGGAGAATCTTGAATTTATGTGAATGAGACAAAGTTCTTGTATCTCAAGGTCCCTCTTTAGTTTTGTGTGTGCCCCAAAAGAAAGCTTCCATTGCAATCTTATATGGCCAGGACTAGAAACTACAGATTTTTACATTGTCAGTATATTTTGGGACAACACTCAAGCTCCCTGGTAACTGAGAGTTACCCAAAGTTCAGAGATTTTTGGCACATAAGTTCTCAGCTGCTTGGAGTGTGTAAAATTGCTTGATTTGGCTCCGTTTCACATGAGGAGATGGTGCTGAAGAATGCAAAAGAATGTCCAGATTTTTATAATGTTTTATAAATACGAGTAGTTATTGAAAATTGCAGTTCCAATATTGGATAGTATTCCCTCAAATGCACCCCAGCTGAAAATCAAGTAAGTGGTTATTTTCTTTAGAAATATAGTTTTAATTTGTAAGCTGATTTTTTTAAAAAATCTCCAATGGAAGAATGGATGGTGAAAATGATGTGTATTGCTGAGATGGCCAAACTGACAGCTTTAATTAGAGATTAGACATTGTCTAAGTTTAATGCTGATTGGAAATCCCTCATTGACTTTTTGGCATGAAACAGAAAAAAAAATGAAATTATGATATATAATTTTGATAATTAGAAAAATTAGATTATGGCCAAATGTAAGCAATACTGTAAAGATAGAGTAAGAGGTTAATTTATATTTATACTTATAACTGCTTTAAAAGAAAATTGGAAGTCATTTCTTTACACTTATTTTTTTCCAAACTTTTGACTTTATTCTTTTCTTATTTCCTTCTTTTTTCTTCTATCTTCTTCTAAATAGTAGTTTTTATCTTTCATTTTACAAATGTAATAAAGTTATGTAAAAATTATAAGCTGATTTAATTAAGCATATTAGATTTTCAGATTGGGTGCTAATACATTGAATAATTTGAACCTGAAGTTCTTAATTTACATCTGGTAATGACCGACAGCATAACCAATGTGTATTTGTAACTGATATGGGTCCACTGATACCAATATTGAATAAACTTACAGGACATGATTTCTTTAATCACAAAAGTTTTATCTGAGTTTTAAGGGACCAGCAGGCTCTAAGCTAATGATCAGGGGTAGTTTAAATTTCCCAGTAGGCTAGAGATAATGAAAAGGTCTTGGGTGGAAGGGTGTAATTAGGAAAGTGCCAGAGTGTGGAGGAATAAAATGGAATAAACTAAGGTGTTATAACTCATGTTATTCCCCAACCTGCAGGCAGCTATTTTTTTCCAGCCGTCTACCTGGAGTTTTCAGGGTATCAATATGAGGTCGTCTTATTGCAAAAGGTTATGTCTATAAAGCCCTGTCTTTAGATCTGAGAATCCCATCAATTCCCATATCTAAATTGTGTCTCCCTAATAGCTTTTTTCTTTAAAAATTGAAATTATTAGGGTTTCGTTACATTATTTATGAATTTATTAGAAGAACTATCACTAAGCACACATTTCATTTATAAGGCATACGTGTCAAAATAAGCTGAGGCATTATGAAACCATTAAACGCTACCACAGCAAAACTAAACAGAACAGCCTCACACTCAGTATTCCTGGACAAATAACTACACCTTTATGTGATTTTTGAAAGTCTAGCAACATCAGCCTGTAGTGTTGGGTTTCAGTGGGAATAGAGTTTAGAGGCAGATGAAGGCTCCTGAATGGCTCATATTGATTTGGTCTTGGTCCTGCTAGAGAAATATGCAGCAATTTTAATTTGACTTCCTTCCCCCGCCACCCTCCCATTACCTTTGGAAGGCTCTGAAGAAATTGTTCTATCTGCAGATCTGAGGACCCCAGACTGATACGGAGCCAGTCAAGTGGTTGATATGATTGCATTTGTTGCTGGAGTTGGATATTGGATATCCTTTGGATATTGTAAACCTCCCAGCGTCATCGTGTGTGAATTTGGTGGCCAAATGCATTTGTTTAATCAATAAATAAATTTCAAAATATATATGCATGCATTTCTGAGCATAGCAGCACATAGCTATAACTGGCTCCTAATTCTGTCGGATAGGTAAAGCTGTCAGCTTTTCAGACATCTTCCTATCAACTTTTTCTAAGTCCAGCCATTTCTGCATAAAGTACCTTTATTTCACCTTGCCAATAATTTAATCCTTGAAGTGTTTCTGAACGTCCCACCCCACCATTTTTTTTAAAAGGTCCAGATTGCTAATTCAGAGCATACCACTAAAACAACTCTTTTGAGCTATTTTAAGCACAGTCCCTTGGCCCACCACCATAAAATGCCCCAAAATTTTAATTTTTAAAATTAACAGGTGTATATGAGTGTGTACATACATGTGTGTGTGTATTTCTCTGCTTTAACACTGTCCCATTTGGCTGTAGCAGAGTAAGATGGGAACAGGCAATGTAGATAGTGTTTTAACCAACAGCATTTCCTCTTTCTCCATGCTAATAATGAAATACATCTTTCTATCACATTTATTACTCTTTTAGCTGGGTTCTCTCATTTATTCAGTGCTTTAGTTGCAAATGGGTTCCACTTTGGTTAAGTATCTGCTAGCAGTGAAGTATAGCAGTATGAAACAAGGAACCATTGCAGCACCAAACCCAAGCAAAAGGACTAGCATTTTTTTTAAAACCCTCTAATTTTGGTTATCTCTCAAAGGCTCAGTAGCTGACTTATGTTCTTGCTTTCTCCCTTCAGTTTGCATCTGATCTTGAGCAGATGTTGCCTCCGCTGGAAAAGTCACCCCAGTTGCCACCAGGCTTGTGTGGGTCAGAGACTGAAAGTGGGGGCATTACTATCAAGTCGGAGATCCTGAGCCCCTCCCTTCAGCCCAGTACTGCTGCAAGAACTCCTACTGGGATGAGCTGTATGTACTTCTGAATCTTTTAAATATATTCTTAGTAGTGTTTCCTGTGGTTGACAAACTGTATTCCAGCACTGCATGTGCTTAAGTTGTTTAGATGTTGATTAAAAACAAGACAATGAAGTTTTCTATAAATCCAATTATCTGTTCCTTTGTTAAAATCAAATTTCTTTTGATAATGTTTAAGCTGAACCATCTGTTTTTCCATGGGATTTCAAAATTGCTTTTCAAGACAATAAGGCTGATTTCTTGAGGTATGGTGTATTTGGGAAGTATTAATCACTGACTAAAACTCAGGTCATATTAAGATGCTGAAACAGCTATAATTCATTTAAAGATGTATTTATAATAATGGAGTAGCAACCATTTATTTATATATAACGTGGATAGTTTGATTAGAAAGATATGTAAGCTATGTAATCTTACTTTGTTGTTCTTTTATGGATACTGTTTTGCTGGAAGCAAAATATTCCATCACTCAGCAATTCTTTTTCATCCTCAATCCTGTTGTAGAATTATCAGGAGAAAATGAATTGTATGTTATGAAGCCCTTATATTCCACAGAAAAATCAGCTCATGCAACCAAAATTCAGGTCAAGATGTGCTAAGTTGGCACACATCAAAGTACTTAATCCATATTTTTGCCCTCTATGTCCATTAACTTCTCATGCAGTGTGTGCCATGACACTGCTTAGCCCGTATTTGGCATTTTTAAGCTTCTATCTCTTTAATTCTCAGCCACCTAATCTCTCAAAACTTTCTAAATAGTTTCTCTTCTTCAAGACCCCAGTTATGGAATATTAAATATAAGTTTAATCTTTAAGTTCTAAGGTTCAGGAAGAAATATTTCCATTATCAATAATTGGTTTACAGAATTCTCAGTATTATTTTCCTTTGTTTTATAAGTACAGATTTTTGTATGGTGTAGACTCAAGGCAATTAGCAGCCAAATCATAAATATATAAATACTCAGAAAACTGCCAATTAATAAGATTTAAAAACCTTAACTAATGGTGGCCCTCACATCATTAAAACACAAATGCTCTGGAGAGAAGGAGATAATTAAATTAATGATCAGTTTTCAGAACTCTGACAATTTATTTGTGTTGTTAGGTCATCATGGCTATTTGGAACTTCAATGTTCAGAGACAGCTTATTAATATCATTAGCTGTGGAAGTATTATGCTCGTATCTTCTTCATCACTGAGGACTACAAGGTTCCTTTTTTGTTTTTTTGACAACTAGCATAACAAGCTATGGGTCTGCCTGGGACACTCACCATCCTAGTGTTGAACTGAGCTCATATAGTGCTTGTTGGTTTTAGGGTAAAGACCGCTGGCCTTCCAGTTATACGGCAGATACATTATTTAAAACCTGTTTAATATAGCAGTAAAAGGAATTGGACTCGAAGCTGGGAGACTGTGTGTTGTAATCCTGTCTTAGGCATGGAAGCCAGCTGAGTGACTTTAGACCAATTATTCCATCTCTGTCATAGGAAGAAGGCAGTGGTAAACCACTTCTGAAAGTGTTGCCAAGAAAGCTGCATTGACTTATCCATGTAGTTGCCATAACTCATATCTGACCCAAAGGACTCAAATAAAATAAAATGACTTAGTAAGTGTACGAAGCTTTTGGACATGCAGTATATTACTAGGCTGTTTTGCTAGTTGGCCAGCTAGCTTTTAATAATCATGTATGCTCTTTAAAATGGAGAGAGCACAAGAGGGCAGCAAAAAATAAATTTGGTAATGATAAATTGCTTGATGACCTAGAAGTGATCCTTACTTTGCCATTAGCAATGAGGGAAATGTTGAAAGCCTGTATTGAGCAAAATCCTGGCTGGGTGACTTCTTTGTGTCCAATTTTACAGTGCCTTATAACTAAAATATATTAAAAGCCTGTCACAAAAAGTAACTGTCTGCTGGATTTCATACTTATTGAGATGCACTAGCACTGGGCTTGTTGCTAGCTGTAGAAAGAAAAGGGAGAATGCTGCATTAGGAGAACGGGGCTTCCAAGTAAGTTTTATGAACCATAGTGCTCAGGCACAAGGCATATGTCAAAGAGCAGTTATTGCTTTCCCATAATTGCAGAAATTACAAGGTGATTTGAAAAAGCTGTTCATCTCTTGGTTGTCTTAACTAACCATTTCTGCTGTCATTTCTTTGACAGTTTTGTGATGCAAATATAGTAACATGTAGCTCACTCAAGCTTGTTAACCTGTGCACTGAGGGTTTTACTCCACGTGAAGCTTTGAAAAACCCAACTTTTAAAAACTAATTAAAAATCTACAATAGTTTTTATAATGGGATTCATTTATTTTGAGAGATAAAGGTTTTTTTGCTAGATAATTAAGACGATACGAGTCCCAGATAATTAGTATTACAAGGTGGAATGCAATAAGTATTCTTGTTCTTCTTATTAAGTATTGTTGTTCTTCTTATTCTTGTTATTTGTAGGAAGCATGCAAACCTTTGGGTTAACAGATATTTTCTACCTGACAGAATCATCCTGTATTATTTATAAGTTTGCAAATGCTTTGTAAATAGAGAATTAGCTGTTTAGTTTTTTGAATTCTAAGAACATAATTGCCGACATGATTATAGGATTGAAGGTTGAAACATTTTTCTGCAGTTAGAGCTATATAAGAAAATCACTGAATCCAGTTAAATCTCTGATAAATTTTGAAACATTTTAAAAATGAAATTTGGATTTACATATTTCATGCATGTTTTATAAAGTACAATTGGAGGGCTTTCTTAGCAATTGAGGGTAGGTAACTTTTACTAATCAAATTTTAACATTAACATTATCCAGTATTAATTTTTCACAATCCCTTTTCTGAAACACCTAAACAATATTTGAGAATGTTAAAAAAAAAAAAAAAAAAAAGCTGAGGGAAGAAATTCACCTTATTGCTGTTAGAATATTCCTTCCAACTAGCTTCAGCTTGCAGTTTAAATCTATCCCTGGGTTATTATATTGAATACTGAAAATATTATAGGGTTTGATTAAATGTGCAAAGGAATTTTTATTAATTGTTGAGTGGGAAAGAGAGCCCTCTGGTGGTTTGTATAGGAATTCCAGACAGTACAAGAAGAAGCTTTTGACAGTATGGTCATTTTCAGAAGCTGTGCAGTTTTGCACTGTGGATTTTAAAGCTTTTTTTATTAACATTTTTCTTTATGTGGAAAAAAAATTAGGTAAGGTCAAGAGAAGGAGAACATTTGAGCTATCTGTGTGGCTCTAATGCCAACTTATACAACCTTGACCTTCTCTATCTAACATCACTGCTAGTATCTTTCGTTGACCAAAAGCAGGGAAGATTAAAGCAATTTTGTGCTATTCTCTGAACTAAACTTTTCTGTTCTAGCTGTTAATGGTGGGCAGGGAATGCAAACCAGACGGTCCCCATTTGAATTCTGTGATCCAATGGAGCCAGTTCAGCTACGGACAGCACCTTTCCCTGCAACAAATGGCAGCAGCCCTCATCATGGCTTGCCATCAGAACAGGGCAGGGGGGCAGTACCTGGCCCAAGTCCCTTTCAACCGAATACTGGTATGTGCTTTTGCTATGATGAATGTAAACCTCTATTTCAAAGATCTTATCTGTATAAAAAAAAATCCTTTTCCTGATTGCTCTTTCAGTAGATTGACCTATAAAATAATTACTTAGCCTGTCATGCAGTGAAACATGTGACTACATGAGGCTTTGGGCTTCTACTTTATTATTACTAATATTTGTTAAACCTGTATCCTAACTTTCCTCCAGGAGAGCAAGAGCATCCATAGTACTTTTTCCTTCCTGGTGTAATTTGAGCTGAGAGATAGTGATTTGCCCAAAATTGCTCATTGTCTATGGTTGTGAATAGATTTGATCCAAGACTTTCCCAGTCTTTGTTCAATAGCTTAATCATTAGACCATATTGTCCCTCTGTGTCCAAATGCAGTGCCTGGTCATGCTTTCTTGAGCTGATTACCTGAAAGGTTAGGAGAAGGAATTTGCTTTGCATATTGAAGTACAAATGTAATTATCACATGCTTAGCCTACTCAGAAACATTAGTTCTGCTCAGTTGATCTTTCACCTGAAGTAAAGACAGAAGAATGAAGAATAGCCATCTTAACAGTCAGTAGAAAAAGTGTCTTCACTGCAGAATCTAGAAATGTCTTATCCTATCAGCATCCAAGCTCAACACCAAAAGCAGCATTACAGAATATTTAGGAGGAAATTTTGAGCATTCATCTTAAAACCCCTCCTTCTGCTTATGTGAAATACTGCCATACCCTGGAGTCTCTCACAGATAATGATCTCCCATTTTTATCTTATGCAGTTAAGATCCTCCTATTGAGCTCCTGTAGGTTAAGTACAATATTCATGGAACTGCTACATGAGGAAAATGTATCAAGCATTTCAAGATGTACAGCAACACAGTTTCTGGCAAATGCTCTAAGAAATCCAAGATACTCACAAAAAAACCTCCCAAAGTTTCCATAGTACCAATGAAGGAGAATATTTGTAGCTCAGGGTTGAAATGAGGGGTCCTTGGTGCCCTCTCAGCTTGCTTTGTTTTCTTGCAGGCATTTCATTACCCTAACTAGGTAACATCATCAGGGCTAGTAAGGAGTGCTGTTTGCTGTCAGTTTATATTCTGGTGTCTTGCCTGTCTAGGTGGGTGGGGGTGGTCTTAGGGATTCTTTGGTTGGGCTGTTTACTAATGGCTCTTTGGCAGTTTCTTCACTGGGGTATTGCTTACTTGATTGTTGGTCTGAAGTTGATAAACTGACAGCAAATCCCACTCCTTACTAACACTGATGATGTTACCTAGTTAGGGTAATGAAACGTCTGCAAGAAAACAAGCAAGCTCAGAGAGCACCATGGACCCCTAGTTTCCATAGTCTTCAAATTCCCCCCAAATCCTATGAAACATTTGCAGTCTCAGATCTTGTGCAAGAAATCGTCCTCATGCCTTAATTTTATCTATAGTTTTGATATTATATTTCATATATGCAGCTTTTTTCTAATGAACAAATAAGATAATTCCTAATACATGGAATACTAGGGTAATATTTGTGATCAGATACGTGCCATGAAATACATGCAAATTTCAGTTCCCTGAAATAAAAAAGGGAGGGTGTGCCTTGTTTATAGCAGAGAACTGATTGGCTGAGGGAACATGGCCATCAATGATACAGTTTGATTGTATTTGAATGAATGTTCTGGAAGGACTGTGATTTGATCTGTTGCCCACTCGGATCTGTTGCTAGCTGCATTTCTAGTATGGATGGTCAGCTCCCTTGGCGTCCCCATCTGGAGCAATACTTTCCTCAGACATAATCAGCCATGCTACGATTGTTGCCAGCAATTTCTTTATTTTCCAGTTGCCAAGCAACCCTTAAGAATACTTCACCGCTGCTGCACAGCTAGTTCAAGAATGAAATAAACTCTTGCAGGTTGACTTTTCTCTCTATTCTGTGATTGTGTTTAGTCACAAGTCTTGCACTATAGGCCATGTCCTTCTAATATGTTGTACAACAATTTCTATCATCCAAGACAGGGTGGCAATTTAAGTTCAATGCACCTGGAGCATTCTAGCCTGGGAAAAATGGAGATGTGTTTTAGCTTAAGGACTATGCTTGTTTATTGTCGAGCTACAGCAAATAGCCCTTAATGCTCTCATGGCCAAGTTAGTCGAGAGTTTCACTGGTCTAGAGAGACAGCCACTGGAACTCTCAGGACCAACCAAATGAATACATCTGGACTTCATTCTGCTCCATATTTTCAACTTACAGTGAGCTTGGCTGAAAACACATGGGAATAAAAGTTTAATTAAATAATGGTCTGAATAGCCTCATTGTCCTCATCTTTAGACATATGTATTTTAGATATGGGTATCTTTTAAGTGTGCGTATTTTGAAAGTCTTCAATTTAAAGGTTTTTTTAAAAAAGTTGCTGCTTCCTACCTCATGTCCTAAAGCTGTTATTTTATTCCTTCAGCACCCATTTTCCTACTTGAAGATCCAGGAGATGTTTGCCAGAGTTGCAAAAGTATTTATTCTCACAATAGTAACTTTAGACAGGCTGTCATGAAACCATAAAGGAGGTTGGATTTTGGAAGCCCAGTGAGCTGATTGAGGGTGCTACAGGTGCATTATTAATCATCATGCACCTCTGGCTTTTGAGTACTACATCTGAAGCTTTTACCACTGTGAAGATGGTTCCAGTCAGTCCTTTCCTTATAATTTAGGGGAGGGATCCTCCTGATCCTAACTTTCACTATCATTGTGACCTCTTAATGTGCCACCATTATATGTACCAAGTATTTTCAGGTGAAAAGCACCTTTGAATTTGATAGAGGGTCGCTGTCTTTGAGGATACCCATAGAGCACTGTGAGGGGCCCCAATGGAAGATACATCAAGAACTGATAGACACCGTGTTGCAAGGAATCCCAAGGAGCATCTTCCTTGCTGTGAGCCAGACCATATAGGGCCAAGAGTGTTTTGTGGTTCTCATGCATACCCCAAGCCATAGAACTACCATCTTCCCATTACAGAAACTATGAACTGTTACTGGGAGGTACTGCTACTCAGGCAGATAATTGTTTGAATGTTGCTTAGAATAGTGGATTGCCTCCTTACTGGTCTGCATCAAACAGTCTTATACAATAGAACATTTGTATATCTTAATCCAGTTTTCCTTATGAGCAAGCTCCAGCCTAGGTGCACTCACCTCCTTTTGTCCCATTTTATGACCTGATCAAACTAGTGTGTTCTTCTTGTTCCTCAAATGATAAATACTTTTGTCTCCCAGGATTGCCTGAACTGGAATTGGGAGTCACTGAGCATCAATTTGGGCAGCCAGCCATGGGAGAGCAGATCCCGTGGGCAGATCATTCCATAGCTTCCATCAACAGAGGACCTATGACTAAACCAGATGAGTAAGTATAGGGATGTTTTCCCTTGATCATTGGATATCCCAGACAGTCATATGAGAAGTTTAAAAGTCATCTAAAGATTTTTTTCTCCATTTGCGGTATTGATATGGAGAACAGTCCCAAATGCATATGTTTGTGCATGTACACACAAAAACATACATATATACATACCTAGTGCATTTTTTTAAATCAAGAAACAGTAGGAACCATAAAACTGCATTTATTTTTCACTTCTGTTCAGTGAAAAAGAAATGAAAGAATATGGATTAAGTGTGCCTTCACTGGGGAAAACTCCGGACTCATAAGGATGATGAGGCTATATTTCATACAAATGTGAAGTCTTGACATTCATCTCACTATCTCTCAGGTTGCAGACAGCAAGAGACTCCCTCATTTTCCTTTGATTAAGAGAGCAGCCCTTCAAAAGATCTTCTTGTGTAAGACAGCAACTTCTTTTAAGATGTTGTCTTTCAGTCTTCATCAGGCATTTATTTCTGGTCAAAGTCCAGCCAGGGAAAAGTTTGTGCCTTAGACAACATGGTTCCTTTGTCAAGTCTGAAAAGATGCTGTCTCAAGGTGCCAGCCCTTAGGTATTTCTGATGGTTCATCCAAGGAAGTTGTTAATAATAATAATAATAATAATAATAATAATAATAATAATAATAATAATAATAATAATAATAATAATAATAATAATAATAATAATAATAATAATAAAGTTGGAAGGGACCTTGGAGGTCATCAAGTCCAACACCCTGCTCAGGCAGGTAACCCTACACCATTTCGGACAAATGGCTGTCCAGTCTCTTCTTAAAAACTTCCAGTATTGGAGCATTCACCGCTTCTGGAGGCAGGTTGTTCCACTGGTTAATTGTTCTAACTGTCAGTTAAGAATCTCAGAATTAAATCTCAAGTTCAGAAAATCTCAGCACCTTACTTTACTTGGATTCTTCTGCATAGCCCCCTAACTGAAGCAAAAATGTATCTGGTCACTGTTTTTTATTCCATGAGATTGCCTTTGTCTCATCTTCAGCCTACAGCTAAGGCAGCTTAAAACTTATCTTGAGTTATTACAATTTTTAAAATAGAGTTTTCCTTCTTTTCCTGGCAATACTTTTTTTTTGCCATGATCACATGTTTCATTGACAATGTGGTTGATTGTACAGTCAGGAATTAGTTTCTCCCAGCTTCTACAGGTCACTTTTGGCCTGCAGGCATGCCCTCTCTCCTCAGTCATTCAGGAACACCCTTCAGTAATTCATTTGGCAGCAGAAGAGACTAAACACCTGACCTCAGCAGGGGCATTTGCCCTCTTAATAGCTGAAGACCATTTTCTGAAACAGTTGTCAGGTTTTATTAGGTCTTATGTGGACTCCTTACAGAAACAGGTTCGGTGCTTATTATTTGAAGAAGTGCTAAACCTATTGTTTTTTAAGCGTGGGTTCTAGCATCCTTTGGAAAGGAAGTGCTCTTTGGGAAGAGAAATGAAGTGACATAATTCACTAATCACTTTCTTTAACTTGTCCCACACTAAAGCACTAAGGCCAGCACCCTCACCAGCCTCATTTTTGAGACAGCATAACAATTGGTAATGAGGTAATTTTTCTTTGAGTTCATGGGCTAAAGGATAGCTGTTTAATATAGTTGTAAGACTTTTCAGTTAAGATATAGTCATTCAACTCTTTTACACTACACCATCTAGTGCAGGGGTCCTCAACCTTGGCAACTTTAAGACTTGTGGACTTCAACTCCCAGAATTCCTGGTTGAGGAATTCTGGGAGTTGAAGTCCACAAGTCTTAAAGTTGCCAAGGTTGAGGACCCGTTATCTCTAATGACATAAAATTGCCCAAAGAATCCCTAAAAGACTGCTTCCATAAAATAATAATTAATTTGGGATGTGGCACTGGGAAATGATGAGGTGTATTTTTGTCTAATTGCTACTGTCCGTGCTCCACCCTCTTCCTTATTATCCCCTCTCTTCCAATAACCTTGAGTGAAGTCCTTATTTAAAATAAAGCGCTGCAGAAAGCACTCAAGCCATTTTTATAAGTCTAACGGGAAATTCTGTGGAAGCTAACATAAGTCTTGGCAGAATGTTAGTTTAGGCAATAATCCTAGGGGAAGACAGAAATCTCTCTTGCTACAACTCTTTGCCTCCAGCTGTCCTGTCTCATTTTCCTAAATACATGCAACATGCTATTTTAGAATGGGCGAGGAGTTACCGCCTGCCAGGAAGAACCCAAATGCACGAGCTCTGAGTGAAAGAGGATTCAGTTACAGGTTCTTGGCCTCCTGCCCCAGTTTTCCATTGGATAAATTGCCTCATAGCCAAAGTGGAACTTGAAACATGAAGCTTTCCTCATCCTATTTGTCATTAATGAAATCTTCCTTTTTTCCTTCCTTCCTTCCTTCCTTGATTGTTCCTTATTGCAAAAGAGATGCTGAACAGGATCAGGGCAGGTTTCTGTCTTCTATCAAGATCTCCTGCAAAGTGTCATTCAGAGGATTTTAGGGATCTAACTGAAGAAGTAGAATTCTTTTTCTCTCTGTTTTTTAGTGGGGGAGAGGGGGAGGGGAGGTTGTATAACTGGGGAGGGTGGGGGAAATGAAGCATCCTGTTCCTCTGGTAACAAATCCAGCCTTTGATTTCTTTACCACTTACTTTCATTAACCTTCTTCTGCTGTCTTTAATTTCTTACGTAAATTAGATTTTGAGCCCTTTTAGAATACGAATGGAAGATCGAAATGCCTGTTTTGTTTTGTTCTGAGCCAATAAGAAAGAGTGGTCTATAAAATATAAATGAATAGTTAGCTTGAATAGCTCAGTAGCCTCAGGGTAAGGGAAACTTCATTATACAGTGGGACATTCTCCACTGTGTGTGTCTTGGCTTTGTTGTTCAAATAGTCTGCAATTGTTTGCTCTTTGAGCCTGTTTCTGGCAATGATATATTGAAGTCTTTGTTGTTTAAGTACTCCTGCAAAGAGTGTAGAATGGGCTGCTAAACTAAAAATCTCTTCCACCTACCCAACACTTCTGGATACAGTACACACTTTTTTAAAAAAAATCTAAAACTGCATATACAAGTTTCACACAAAACTAAGATTCTGGGATTGCTGGCTGACATAATCTAACTTTTCATAAATCTGTAGTTTTATTTTTGGGACGAGTCTTTCTGACAACTTCCAGGTCATTAGGAAAACCAGAGGGATGTGATGCTGCGAAGATGACTGAATGGAAATTTTGTATCTTCTTGTATTAAACCCCTAAATAAATATTCATTACATGAAAATACAGCTTTCCTGAATCACAGCAAATCCTACAAGCAGGGCACAAACTTCCTATTCTTATTTGCTTCTCCCATAATTTGTATTTTAAAATTAACAACCTTTGTAAATAGATATTCCAGTGGAATTAGTTGTTGCATGAATAGTCTACCTACCTCTCCTTAGGCAGTTCAAGATATGTAGAACCACCCTTGTTTTATCCTCACAACTCCCATGACAAGGTAGTTTAGAGATAATGATTGGCACAAATCACCCAGGTGGGTTTTACAATCACATGGGGATTTGAATCCAGATCTCCCCAATTCCAATCCATCTCTCTATGCAATGTCTGTCTAGCTGTTCCTGAGAATAAATGGATTTGTTGAAGCTAGCATCATCTCATCTTTATATCATGAATTAGCATAGCAACTGCTTAGTGCCTTTTCCAGCAATTATTACATGGTATCAGAAGAATAGGAACTTTGAATGGCTTCTCTTCCAACCCCCCCGACTTCCTTGTGATCACTGGACGTGCTGCAGAAAATCGGAGAAAATGGCTTCAGCCATTTCATTTGTACCTTGGACATGAGCGGGGAAAAAGAGAGGCTACAATGCACTTTGTTTTGCATTTTGTTATATAGAGGCTCGAGAGATAGGTTTATTTATTTATTTTATTTAGAAATTTTCTATTGTCACCTGCTCGCACATGGCAACTCAAGGCGGCTTACACGGATATGCCCATATGAAAGTGCAGTGTTTTTGTCATGTCCCAAGTCAAATATCCAAAGAGATTGGAGAGCTTTCATCTGTCTTTGTTGACATTCTTACAGCCAGTGCATCACTTCTCAGCTGGATGAGCTCTTATGCCCTCCCACCACCCCAGAAGGAAGAAATGACGAAAAAGCCCTTTTGGAACAACTGGTGTCCTTCCTGAGTGGCAAAGATGAAAATGAATTGGCAGAACTGGATCGAGCTCTTGGCATTGACAAACTGGTCCAGGTAGTGAGCTGCTCAATCTACTTCTATATTTTAAGGCCTGATCTTATGTAACAAATAAGTGTTTTTTCCAGAATTGGGAGTTTTGGAAGGGCTGGAATGGAGAATTGTATTAGAAAGAGTGCAATGATAAATGTGAGCACACACTAAAAAACAGAGTAAAATGCCTCTCTAATATATGTTCTCTTATGTTGAGGAACATTGCCTATCAAAAGCTCCTTTTAAGTTTTTTTTTTTTTACTTATCCTTTCTTATTGTTTATTTTAAATACTTATTATTAACCCCATTAAAAAGCCTGGCATTGTCTACAGTAAAAAAAGACATTCAATTATTAAAACAATTAACAAAAATTTACATCAAGTGAATAGTGTAAAAAAACAAAATAAATTTGATGGGATGAACATTAAAACAGTAACAGAGGAATAGAAAATTTAAAAAAACACAGCGTTTAACCTGTCTTTAAAAATCCGAGAGGTTAAAATAAAACTTCATCTAGTTTGAAAAGAAACCCAATAAAAATCCCACCAGGGGTGTCTCATTGGAAGAAGACATTCCAAAGGGGAGATGGGCTTCCATTGAAAAGCCACTACCCCTTTGCTTACTGCACTGGGACCAAGCCTCCAAATATGTCTTCAAAGCATAGGCAGGAATACATAGAAATACGAGTTTGTTCAGGTATTGCGAATCCTCGCTGGGAAAGGCTTTACAGGTTAAATTCAACACCTTGAATTGGGATCAAAAACAAATTTTGCAGCCAATGAAAATCATAACTGGTGTGATGGATTCTTTCTTTCTATCGCAGAATGCTGATTCTCTGAAAGTAAAAAGTGAAATGTTTTAACCTGGGCAGCTGTAACATTGAAGTGCCTTTCATAGGTAGCATTGTCTAAAACCCAACTGCCAATCAGAATGCTCCTGGGAAAGAAAAAAGCATTACATCTTATATAAATTCATGGCCTTGGTGCACGAAGTATTACAATTACGGGAGCTAGTCCTTGATTTACGTCCAGTCTCTTAGCAACTGTTTGAAGTTACAACAGAACCCTGAAAAAGTACCTACAACCTGGATCTAAACCCTTCCCCTCAATGGTCACATGCTTGGCAGCTACCCACATGTATGGCCATTTACGGCAGCCCCTCAATCACATGACCATGATTTAGGGCATTTTTGTTGAAAATCAGCATGTACTTTCAATTTGCAAGAAAAATGCCCCATAGCAAACAAGAAGTTCATTTAATCACCAGATTTGCTTAATGATCACGGCATTCTTTTTACAACTGCCATTTATGCTTAATGACTGCTGTGTAAAAAGGTCATACAACTGGGTTCATTGTGTGATGATCTGTTTACAATTGTTACAACTTATAAGCATAAATTGGCAGGGTTCGTTAACAATCATACGTTGAGGACTATCTGTAGTCTAGAAAGATCATGTGTGTTGACAATTTATAGCAATGCAGTTATAAATTCCAAAGGTGGTCGTATTTAGGTCCAAAGTTTGTCTATGGTCACATACATACTACATTACAAACTAATTTCTGTATTTTTGTGCTGGTTGGAACCTCTGTGTAATATACTTTTGAAAATAACCTGTCTACTAATCCTTCACCTGGTTCCATTTCAGGCCTAATGGCAGTGATCATCTTTGCTATGTATGTTTGTTTATTATTGTTTTATTTATTTGGGGTTTTATTTTGTTGCTTGTAAAATAAAGTTATCCAACATGTGCATATTCATTCATAATCACTAAGAGTGTAAAACTATTTGGGATTGTAGCTGCTAGGGAAGGTTAAATCTCCATCTTAAAGGGAACTGCAGTAAAAGAAGAAAAAGGTAAAACAGTTGTTGGTGACATGGGGTGTGTGGAGAGTACAGTAATAAACAATTCTCTTGTTTTTGCTAGAAAGCCAGACTGCAGGGGAGAAAAAAGATAGTCACATTTATCTAAGTATCAAAACATAGCATTACATTGTTGTAAGCTGCCTAGAGTAGCCTATGGCAAGATAGGCAGCAAACCTAGAAGCGACCTGGAACTAAGGAGAAACTTCCTGACAGTTAGAACTATTAACCAGTGGAACAACCTGCCTCCAGAAGTGGTGAATGCTCCAACACTGGAAGTTTTAAAGAAGAAACTGGACAGCCATTTGTTCGAAATGGTATAAGGTTACCTGCCTGAGCAGGGGGTTGGACTTGATGACCTCCAAGGTCCCTTCCAACTTTATTATTATTA